CAGTTTCCTGATGACTGATGCATTCTTTCTATCTAGAGTGGAAAGAGGAAAGGACAGGGCCCCATACCTCTACACAACCACCTTCTCAGGTCTAGCAAGCAGCCTTGTGGGAATCTCTTCTGCTTATGTCACCTCTTCCGGTTTATAATTGTCCTTAGTGGTGCTGGTGCACAGAGCAGCAAGAGACCAATTTCCCTGGCAGCTGCACTCTCTATCCTGTGTGGGATTGAGGGAGCCAGGATCATGTACTTCTATGCAGTTGCCCTCTCAGGTCTCTGTGTAGCCTGGTAGGAATCCCTACTATCTTCTTTTCATAACTTTCAGATTCAAGAGTTTGCCCATAGAATCATTTGATATTTCAACTTGAAACTTGATTTTTTTTCTTCAGTTCTTTAAATTTGAGAAATATGAATCACAATCTTCTCTTGATTTTCTAACTCCAGCTCTTTGAACAGTTTGTTATAGTATTTTGCTTTGTCTTCTCAGGCTGCCCGTTCAAACTAGCTGTATATCTCTTTTACGGCAACATTTCTTCCCTTTATTTTGGCCTCTTTTCATTCTAACGCAGAGAGTGCAGGTGGCTTTGTGGTAAGGCATTGTGCTGGTAATTCAGAGACAAGTAGTTCAAATTCACCAGCTGCTCTACAGGAGAAGAATAGACTATCTCATCCCATGCCGTTTATAGTCTCTGAAAACCCACTAGAGAGTCAGGGTCCAGTAAGCCCCATTTTAATTGCATGTCTTAGTTCAATTAGGGCTGTTTCCTTTCTTAAGACTGGCTTACATGACAATCACAGTAATCTCCAAAGATGGTGGAGTTTCCTTCACAAATGTGTTCCTTAACAGAACAGGAACCCTAGACCACTTAGTTATGCTCATGTGAAATCTATACCTAGACCAGGAGGCTGTTTTAAAAGAGCCAGGGAACACTGCATGGTTTAAAATAAAGAAAAGTATATGTTAGTACTGTATCTTTTCTCCATATCTATTCAGTCTGTGTATAGAGTAAATCCGTAGAAAAACTGGACTTAATGAAGAATGTGGCAACAGGATTAGCAGAAGGCTCATCAACAACCTGAAATATACACATGATGCAAAACTTTGCTTGCTGAAAGTGAGGAGAGCTTGGGACACTTATTGTAAAACGTCAAAGATTATAGCCTTCAATATGGGTTACATCTCAACATCAAGAAAATAAAAATCCTCACCACTATGCCAATAGAACACATCATGATAGGTGTTTATTAGATTGAAGTGGATAATAAATTCTTGCTAAAATCCACAATTAACAACACCCTTGGTATCAGCAGTCAAGAAATCAAAAAACAAGATGCTTTGGGGAAGTCTACTATCAGGAACCTTTCCAAGGTATGGAGGAGCAGTGATGTCAGTTTGAAAACTAAGTTGCATCTGATTCAAGCCTTTTCAGTTACTTCCTACGCATCTGAAAGTTGGACATTGACTAAGGACAACAGTAGAAGACTTGATGCTTTTGAGTTGTAGTGTTAAAAAAGAGAACTGAATACCCCATCAATTGTCAAAAGAACAAAAAAAAGTAAGTGTTGGAGTAGGTGTAGTCAGGGTGGCCCTTAGAGGAAAGGATGATGAAACTCTTTCTCACTTACTTTGGATATGTTGTTAGGAGAGGCCAGTTCTCCTTGGAAAAGGACATAATGCTTGGAAGGATGGAGGATCACCAAAAGAAAAGAAGACCTGCAGTGAAATTTATCAACACAGTGACTATTATAACAATGATCTCGAGTATATTAGTGAAGGCAAGGAAGGCAAAGGACAGGGCAGAGTTCAGGTCTGCTGATCATAGGGTCACTGTGAGTTGTGATCGACTTGACAACACCTAATAACAAGAAGAGGATTGTGGTAAAAGGTATGTTCTCTGGATAGTCCATGTATAGGCCTATGAATCTACCCTGATAAATTTACTTTAACATGTCCAATTCCCTAAGCCTTTGGATATCTTCTTTTACTGTACAGCAAGGCAATTCTGTTATTTCAGTTTAATTTAATGTAAATCTAGGTTTTAATGAACTAACCAAATGAACTCTCAGATTATTTCTTAACTTCTCCAGCTGAAACACAGATAAAGAATCTGTGCTTAGTGGGCCCAAATCAATAAAATCAGATTGACTTAACTGTATTTCTTTCACCATTATTGTACACCCTTAATCATTCCTACATATGTTTTCTAGATTTCTGTGTGTACATAGTAGGAAAAAAACCAGTTATTTTGTAGTGTGTCTTTCCTCTTCCATGAACACAATTTGAACTTTACCTTTTGGGAGTTAGTGAGACTTATGTCTAGTTATATGCCCATTCAGAGACCCCCCAAAAAAAAAATTGGGAAGGGCAAGTGGTTCCTTGGAACATTCAATGGTGTCTTGTAAGACATCTGCTTCAGGTGATGCTCCAGATAACGCCCCAGGCTCTGCCATAAGCTCAATTTCAGAACAAAAAAAACCCCCAACAACCCCAAAACCCAAACCTTATTAAGTACTGTTGGGCTCATCTCCGTTAGATGGGTGGAAAAGAGTTGATTCTTTTGCCAGGATTGATTTAATAGAATCTCAAAACTCAACCCCATATCTTACTGATTATCTGACCATATGTTCCCATCCTAAATTTCAGGATACTCGCCCCCCCCCCCAATCAATTCCCTCACTTTAACACCAGATGGTATTTGAGATTGGGATCTCAGTTGTATCTTGAGTCAGCCACTCTTACAATAAGATTAAAAATTTGGTTCTCAGCTATATCACCTTTAAGGTCTTTTATGTAGTGATTGATCTATAACTCAGAACCCTGTGCTCATCTCTTCCTTTCAACAACTAGCTTCTCTGTACTTCTCATTTTGTGAAATTGTAAAAAATAGGATTGCCCAGAATCTCATTTCTCTTTAATATTTGATCAGTTGGTGGTTACCTTTTGGGTTTTAATATTGTCACCTCATGCAATAGATTAGCAAAACCCTCTTACTAATGGAGGTGGAGTCGTCAGTACTTTAAAACTAGTGACACTGGAGAACCATAATAAATTTTAGTTCCCTGTGGTTTGGTTTCTGTAGAGCTAGTGTTTTTATGGAGAGTGATTATTTTTTTAAAATGGGAAAGTCTGAACTCAGGGATCTCTCCAAATTATTGAGGAACAATGATAGAAGTTTGAGGACTAAGGTGTGCCTGATTCAGGTCATGATTTTTTCGATCATTTGCTATGCATCTATGGGTTGGATAATGAAAAATAATGACAGAAGAATTGTCTTTGAGTTGTGAAGGAGTTGTAGAAGAGCACTGAATATTCCATGGACTGCCAAAAGAACAAAAATATGTGTTTTGGAGAAAGTGCAGCCAGAGCGTTCCTTGGAGGCAAAAGTGATAAAGCTCTGTTTCACACATTTTGGGCATGTTGCTAGGGGAGGCTGTTCCCCAGAGGGGGGCATTATACTTGGAAAGGTAGAGGGATGATGAAATAGAGGAAGATCCTCAACCAGGTGGATTGACACAATAACTACAGCAATGGCTGAAGTATATAAAAGGTTGTGAAGACAGCACTGGCTAGGACAGGGTTCCAATCAGTTGTTCATATGGTCAATATGAGTCACACTTAACAAGAGAGAGAGGAAGAAGAAGAGGAGAAGAGAGGAGAAGAGAAAGGGAGAGCAGGGGAGAGGAGAGGAGAGGAGAGGAGAGGAGAGGAGAGGAGAGGAAGGGAGAGAAGAGGAGAGAGGGGAGAGAGGAGAGAGGAGGAGGAGGAGGAGATAGTGATAAGTCACTAGATAATACAGTGATCAGCTGTTCCACGGGAGAAGGATGGGCAGTGCAATTAATTGCCTCTGAAAACCTGCCAGCTGGAAGATCAGATGTGGGTCAATTCTGTCCCGGTGGTACACAACAAAAATAGTTGTGTAATGTAGATGCTTGTATGTCCTGATTCCTTGAGTCAGATGTCAGCTAGAGGCTTCTCCTCTCTCATGTAGTTGCAGGCATTGATTGGCAAGTCAAATGACAAGCTGTTGACTTTCGGTGTTAACTAAGAGGCAATGTGGAAGGCCACTGGCTCAAGTTCAAAGAATCAGAGATCAGAGAGTGATAAGTCAGATTCAAGATCCTTGAACAACAACAACAAAAAAAATAGGAGAGCTTTGACGTGTGTGTGTGTGTGTGTGTGTGTGTATGAAACTCTCCTATCAGCTGATTTGCTACTCATGACAGATCTCATTGTAGAGATTACTACCTTAAGTCAGGTCTCACAACTTCAATCATCATAGTAACATGCAAGCTTCCATTGACAGACCAAAGGTGTATATGCATATAGTGTCAGAAATTGAACTCATTTATTCCACATGGAAGGCAAACATCATACCATTGAGCCACAAACATGAAGTCCAGTGCAGCTTCATTTTCTCTTAACTGCTAATATTTTCAAAGACTCTCTTTCCAAACAAGATCACCTTCACAGGTCCTGGTGATTTTTAGATTTGGGGGGATGGAGTATACTTCAATTTATAATATCCTGAAGACTCTGAACTGGCCTGCGACTCAGATCAGAAAATTATTAAGGCTCTCCCCCTCCCTGTTTGGAGGCATTGGCTGTGTTTCAGTTATTTCAAATAAAGTACAGCCCTCTCAAAAATGTGAATAATTATCATGCAATTATATTATGTGCTACCAATCAACCAGTCATCAGAGTATAGCAGAAAAGTTTACATTTCCTATTAGGTCTGGGCTCTTTTCAAAACTACTAGTCATATTTTAAAATATTTATATCCATGCCGAATCACTTGTGTGTGTGTTTACTCAACTCTCCACATTAAAACGTCCCAACACTGAACTTGGAAAATCTTTTCTTGAATCCTATTAACATTAAGATTAAATACTCTGCCACTGAAAGGCAGAACTGTGAAGCAAAACCTGTTGCAGCTATTTTTCTTTTAGCATTTGTGTTTTCCCAGAAATAAATGCTTTTCATTCCTACTTAATCTCATACAGGTGCCATGGAAGACTTGTACCCACCTATGAGAGTGCATCTATTCGCCGGTTCCAGGAGGGACGGGTGGACAACATCCGGTCAGCCACACCTGAAGCCCTGGCTTTTGTGAAGGCCATAACTGACCACAAACCAGTCACCCTGGTGAGTCTGGTGCAGTCCTGAAGAGTCACCTGAAGAAGCTGATATAGAAGCTCAGAGAGCTGTTTTTGCTTGTGGACAATCAGCCACTTTGCTGTTTCTTACCAAGCAGACTTTTAAAGGCCCTTGCACTCTCTCTGTGATCTATTGACAGGATCCAGAAAAGGTGCTGCTCTTGAAGGATGCAATTCGTGCACAGACTGAGTATACTGTCATGGTGAGTGATATTACATGACCTCAATCTTGAACTCATGCCAGTTCATGATGCCTGAGCTTCCAGGAGTGCTTTCAGGGCATTGCACTGTTTGTGAGCTCTGTCACCAGCTTCCCAGTGATGCCAATGCCAGCCCACATCTAGTGGTAATAGCACCACTCCTTCGCCCCCCTCCTCACCTTATGAGTCTACAGTTGATTTTCATTTAAATAACAACAGTGGTAATAATAGCACCCAGAATATATAGTATTTTATAGTTTATGCAACAAAAGAAGTTGAATGTTAAGGAATGGAACTAGAAGCTGGCAAAAGATGCACCTCTTACACAATCACACACTGTTTACTCTCCTACCTAGAGACAGGTTTGTATTCTTGATCTCCATATATGTTTTATTACACTTGTTGTTATGTGCTGTTGAGTAGCTTGTGACTCAACATAGTGACCCTATGTACAACAGCTCTAAACTCTGCTCTGTCCTGTGCCAATCACACTGTCTCCGATACACCCATCCCAATTCCCCCAGACACTGAATAGAGGACCTTCCTCTCCTGTGATGTCCCTCCCCACGGACTGGTCCCTCCTTACAACATGTCCAAAATATGTCAGACAAAGCCTCAGAATCCTTGCCTCCAAGGAGCAGCCCAGTTTAACTCTCTCCAGGATGAATCTGTTTGTTTTCCTAGCAGTCCATGGTACCCTCAATACTCTTCTTCAGCACCACAGCTCAAAGGCATCAATTCTCCTTCTATTCTCCCTAGTCATTGTCCAACTCTCTGATACATAACAAGTGATTGCAAAGACCATGGCCTGTATCAGGCGCCTTACTCTCCAGAGAGATACCATTGCTCTTCAGTACTTTGGAAAGGTCCCTAACAGCAAACTTTCCCATCACAATATGTCTTTTAATTTCCTGGCCGCTGGTGCCAAGAGTGTTGACTGTGGAGCCGAGCAAACAAAAGCTGTGAAAAATCTCAATCTCTTCACCATCCATCCTGATGCTTCCACTTGGTCCAGTGGTGAGAATTTTTGCCTTCTTAGAAAAAAAAATTGCTGAAAATTAACAGTGAAATTTAAATGGAAAGGAAATATTTCTCTAATCAGGTAATTTCTTTCTAGCACTGCAAAGTTGTCATCTACATGCAAACAACAGCTAACAAAGGCTAATTTGGATTGGCAGCCTATGTAATATTTGCAAATAATTCCAATATTGCCTTTGAAGGAACATATAATTTATTAAAAATGTTAACTAGACTTTAACTTTACTTTAAAGCAAGTACAATACACTTCTGGCTTTTAGAACTAGGCAATTTAGATGTTTCTCTTTTCCTAATGCTGTTGCTAGGACCCTACATTATCTGGATAGTTAAGTGTTCTACTTCCAGAAAATAAAGCATACTCTAATGTATCCAACATTTTGTTTTTGTTTCTGTTTTTCTACTTTGTGACAGATCAGGAGCTGAGTGTTAAGAATTAATGGTGAAAAATTAGTAAGTTAGTATTATGAGGTTGAAGAGCTCTGGTGACACAGTCAATAGCAATTCATGCTACAAACCCAGATGCTATGTGTCTCCTATGCACATGGATATCCTTACAGAATGCACTAATAGGAGTGTTGAAATATTGTCTGCCAAACCTTTGTTTGGTCATGGGTATAGTCCCTTTTTCCTGCCTATACCCTTTCATCTTGCTTGTTTGTCTATGTATTCATTTGTAGATTGTGTTTATTGCTATTGATAGTGCAAGATTGTTTATGTAATAGCATGTACCTTTGTTGCCTATATCTATAATGCATTTCTCTGTAGCTTCTCTTTCTTTAGTCATGTGCTCATCACTCTATGTTGTATAGTGTCTTTACCAAACTTACTGTCTATTTTTTAGTTAGAGAGCTCTGGTGGCCTAAGTGATAAGAAGTTATACTATCAAACCAAAGACAGACGATTCAAATCCACCATCTGTTCTATGGATGAAAGAAGGACAGCCTCTCTTCATGCAATTTACAGGTTCTGAAAATCAGCAATAGGTTGGTTTCTATTCCAACAACTCATAAAAACAACAGCATTATCTAGTTACTAATCATTTCTCATCTCTCTTTCTCTTATCTCAATGCTAGTAATAATCAAAGAATGTTTCCTTCTCTGTGCAAATATTTGATTATCTTTTTATACTAGTATTTAGACTTGTGGCTGAGTTACTTCATTTTAGCATAATGTCTTGTAGATTCATCCATGTTATGCAAGATTTTGTGACTTGTTTATTCTTCTTCTTCAGTGTTGCTTAGTATTCTATTGTGTGTAGGTATTATAGTTCATTTATCCATTCATCCATGAGATGGGCATATAGGGATGTTTTTTTCTATCTTTTGCTATTGTAAATAATGTGATCATAAGTACTGGGATTCATGGTGACCTTCATTGGGTTTCTTCAGCTGTAAGTCTTAATGAGATGGGAAGAGATTTCCTATCTTATTCCTTTATTGATGGATGTGTTTGAGCTGCTGACTTTTTGCTTAGTAACCTTATACCTTACCATGTCATCAAAGCTCCTTGAAATGAACACGGTTGTGTACACATATTCTTGTTACAAATCTTACTGCTTTCGCATATGTATTGCACAATCATGGATTAAAGAATATTTCTATTCTGAACCTTTTTTACATTTAAAAAATATTTATTTACATATAAAATTTATATACATTGTGTTTCATGCGTATACATTGTGTTTCACACATTCCTTCATTTACATTGTGTTTCATATGATCATTCTCATACATTGTGTTTTTAATCCCAATTTTTTAAATGAAATTTTTATTTTATACTCATTTACTTACAAACTTCATATACATTGTTTTTCACACCAGATCTTACTCATTTCCTTTATGCATCCTTCTCTCCACCCATTGAAAATGTGCAACCCTATGATTAAGCCCCCAACCCTCTCACCCACCCATTTTACCTCTCTGCCTCCTCCCTCCTCCTTTGGCTTCTCACACATGTTCAACAATCATGGTCTTATACCATATCTGTACTTATGAAACAAAGTTAGTTCACTTAGCATAACATTCTCCAGTCCCTCCCAAGTTGCGTAGAAACATACAAAATCATTGCTCCTGCGTGCTGTGTAGTATCCCATTGTGTAAATGTACCATAATTTCTCAATCCATTCCATGTGGATGGACATTTGGGCTGTTTCTACGTTCTTGAGATGGTGAATAATAAAGCTGCTATGAAGACTGGGGTACAAGTTTCCGGTTGTGCCTCAGTTCTCATTTTCTTAGGATATATTTCAAGCAGTGGAATAGCTGGGTCATAGAGAATGTCTATGTTCAGCTTTTAAAGGAAATGTCAAACTGCTTTCCAGAGTTGTTGTACCATTTTACAATCCCACCGACAATGTATAAGAGCTCCTACCTTGCCACTTCCTATCATTTATTGTGTTCTGTCCTGTTAAACTTTGCCACTACTACCGGGGTGAGATGGTATCTCATTGTGGTTTTGGTTTGCATGTCTCTCATTGCCAGTGATTTGGAGCATTTCTTCATGTGTCTTTGGCCATCCAAATATCCTCCTCTGTGAAAATTCTTTCCATGTATTTTGCCCATTTTGTAATTGTGTTATCAGTCTTTTTCTTGTGGAGGCCCTGTAGGATTCTGTAAATTTTTGCTATGAGACTCTTGTCTGAAATGGTTTTGTAAAATGTTTCCTCCCATTCAGTAGGTTTTCTTTTCATTCTGTTGGAAAAAGTGTTTGATCTTTAGAAGGGACCACTCATCAATTTTATCTTCTCCAGACTGAGCATTTCTGGCTGTATTTGGCAATCTCTTTATACCGTAGACTAGGCCTCAAAGCTTCATCCCAGTTTGTCTCTGATGAACTTAATAGTTTGGGGCTTTAGCCCCAGGTCTCTTATCCACCTTGAGTTGATTTTTGTGTATGGTGTGAGACGTGGATCTTGTTTCAGCTTTCTGCAGGAAGCAGTCCAGTCTTGTCAGCACCACTTGTTGAAGAGGCTGTCATTTCTCCATTTAATAGCTTTGATTTCCTTGTTGAATACCAGTTGACTATAGATAGCTGTTTCATTGGTCTTGTGCCAATGTGTGCCTGTCATTGTACCTGTATCGTCCTGTTTTCGTTACTACTGCTATGTTTGAGGTTAGGGAGTGCTATGTCACTCACTTCATTTTTGTTTTTCAGAAGTGCTTTGCTTATTAGGGGTCCCTCTCCTCTCCAAAAATCTTGGCAATTTCCCTTTTGATCTCCTTGGAAAATGAACTGGGTATGGTTAGGATTGTGTTGAACATGTAGATTAGTTTTGTTAGGATTGTCATTTTCACAATATTGAGTCTTCCTATCCATGAACAGGGTATATCTTTCCAGTTATTTAGGCCTTTTATTGTGTCTAGCAGAAATATCCTATAGTTTTCTTTGTATAGGTTTTTTGTGTCTTTATTTAGTTCACTCCTAAGTATCTCAACTTGTGGTTGGCTATTTTAAATGGTCCTCCTCAGTTTCAGCAAACAGGGTTGTATCATCTGCATAACTCAGATTGTTGATGAGTTTACCTCCAATTCTGATGCCACACTTATCCTCATAGAGCCCAGCCTCCTGGATAATGTGTTTCATGTATAGATTGAAAAGATATGGAGATAGAACACATCCTTGATGCACACTCTTCCCAATTTTGAACCATGCAGTGTTTTCTTGCTCTGTTCTGATGACTGCCTCCTAGTCCAAGTATGGGTTTTGCATATGGGTTTTGTATTTTTGCATAATACAATCAAGTATTCTGGGATTCCCATTCTTCTCAGAGTCAGCCACAGTTTATTATGATCCACACAAACACCTTTGCATAATCAATGAAACACAGATGACATTCTTCCGGTATTCCCTGCTTTCAGCTAAG